CATGAACGGAGTGCGCCACACGTGCAAGTTGCGAATATATCCTTATAGGGCTGTGTGTACTTCGTAAAAGAACCAGTACCAGGATAATTCTAACAGTACTTAATTATACGTATGGGCCAACCTTCACGGAAAAATATATATCCAGTAGGTTAGTGTATATAAGAAAGCAACTAGAGGGAATTTGGGCTGGTAGTGCTGAGTAAAATCACTATATGATATAGTATATCGTCTGCGTCTAACACTGAAAACATTTTTCTTTTGATTAATGCTTGCCTAACCAGCGATGCGAAACATCCAGAAAGCCGTGATATATTTCGTTCCCGTAAAAATCACAGTACTCATCGAATTACTTTCTCCATTTCTCGCCGATTTTTGCAATCAAGGAATATTTTGAAAGATGCAGAATCTTGGTCCGGAACCTTCCATCAGACTTGTTCTACTTGTAAGCTGAGTGTTAGCTCAGTTCGGCTTTTCGCTGGCAACCGCGGTAGCCACTCCACCCTCGAAGGGACCCCTCTGCTGCTGCGGCTCCGAACTGCCGAACTCAAATTATCTACCTTTTATCAACCAGTACGAACAGGAGCATGACCGATTGAGCACGATATGCACCCTCAATACGATGTGCCAATCGAGGAGGAAAGCGACGTGAAATGGCATATCCATGGATATGCATGGACGCTAAACCATCGAATTGGTGTAGCTTTGCGTTAATAGTCGTATTACTGCCTAGTACGTAAATCAATATAGCGCTGTAGTACGAAAGTGGGATCGCTTCCGGATCAGTTAATGGATTGAAAACGACAACTATTATTGTACCTTTCTGCCAAAACGCCCTCAGTTTTATGGTCCTACGTAGGAGTGTGGCCCTTCCGGAAGACCTCCTATCTGATCGGGTGCTTCCGACTAAAATTTAGCCTAACCCTTTGACGAAAAAAAAAGACGATGCCAATCAAAGAAACGGGGTGTTGCTTTACATACTCGCGAACAATTTGTTGCACTTCAATCGGCAATTTAGATGACCGCTCATTCTATGGGGTGTCGTCGACATTTCCTGTTGTCTTGAAGAGATGGTACCATCTCCGAAGGCTTCTGGCCGAGACGCCCAGTACACCGGCAACTACGCTGATCTCAATATTGTAG